GCAAAGGCTGGTCTGCTTTTCCTATCCAAATGGGTCTCGAATGATGTCAAGACTTGCTACCAGGCGGTGAACCAGGGCACATCAGGCCATGTTGAAGCGCAGTTTGTTAAGAGACATGTCTTACCACTTTCTTTGTTCACGTCTCCAGTGCCGGAGGTGGTTAAAACAGCTGCCCACATTGTTGTTCCCACATTCACCTTTTGCTGCTCCCAGTGGAGCCCTCCAGCTTCAGCAAAGCCCTTGGTCAGTGACTTTTCAAATGGGATTCCCCCTCCTTCCCCTTTCCTGGTAAGAGCAGCATGTGTCCGTCTCCAGCAGTGCAATATTTATGGGCTATCACTGCAAGGGAGAGTTTGATCTTGCATGGTACGTGTGCTCAATGCCTGGAATCTCCCTGAATAACCCATACCAGAGAGCCGAGGGTAGAGTAGGTTACCTGATGGTCTTTTCCCATGTTTAAAAAAAAAAGAAAATCGGTGACCTAAGAGGTGTGGGATATAGCCTGGGGAGTGATGTACTGCAGTGTTCATGGCTGCTTTTTCTCTCTCTCAAGCAGTCATGGCAACACCACCGACTACTCCCAAGAGTGACCCCCCAAGACGAGCAGACACGGGTGTTAATTCCACAGGTAAAAAAAGAATTGCCTGTTGCTTAAAGTTCAGAGGTCCGGGATGTCATTTGCAGTTGGATCCAGGTGGAATAGGGTCACCTTACTGTAAGCGTCATTCCCTGCCTGGTCTCCTCTGAACTACAGCTAGGGACCGAGGCTTTCTCACTTTGCATGTTGTTTTTCTGTTTGCTTTCTGACAACCTGCTCACTTTACAGAGCTACCACCATTTGTGCTTTCCTTGCACAGGCCACAGGGTGTAGAGCTCAGGGGGTCTGAGCAGCTAAAAGCGAAGTACTGTGTTCCTGCCACAAGTGAAAGGGTGCAGAACTGGAAATGGGAAAGAAGAGCAGTTTTTGGGTGTAGTACAATGCGCTGTGGTAATGGGACCATGATCCATGGCTGGGGCCTCTATATGCTGGTGCACTACAAGTCACCAAAGCCGGTGAACGGAGCACTTGTAGATCTGGTGCTTTTTTCACTTCCCTTTTATTTTTATATTTTTTTGTCCTGCATTTGACATACACTATGGTTTGGTGTGGGGGGTGCTGTCTTCATGCCAGGCCTGTAGTTGTGCATGTGGGAATGCATGCATGTGTGTGTGTGTGCGTTTAAAAAGGCCAATTGGGTCAGCTTGTTTATCCATTTTTTTAAAAATTTATTTCTGTTACAGATAGTTCACTCCAGAGAACACCCGGCATTTTTACTAAACATCACAGTGAAGGTGATGATAGCATTTTTCTGGCAGCTTTAGAAAGTTATCAGTGAACTTTAGTTCCACGCCTATAGTAATGATGTGAACAATATCAATATAAATGAATATACATACCCTGACTCTTCCTATGAAATTCTTAATATTAAAAAGTATGTTATGGTATTGTTTGGTATAAGTGAGAGGGGAAAGTGTTACTGACACTTCTGTGGCTTCATTTTGTCTTATTTTTCCCCCCCTTTCAGATCCCCAAAATGGTGTTGCTCTTGGTTTGGGTATTGGTAAGTAACTTAAAACAGAAAAATACTCTACTGCGCTGAAGCTGTTACTGTCTCCACTGTATCCAAATAATTTAATTTGGTTGCTGGCACTAGAGTTGAGCCAGCGCACACAGTGTTGCCCTCATTATGCAGGCAGTAAGCACATGACTGGGGGTGGTCTGCTGGGTATTGAGCTTGCTGCTCGAGGAGGGTGTGTCCTACGGCACTGGGCTTCTGTCAGTGACCCTGCGAGTCCGGTATTTTGTCCACAGCCTTCCAGCATACTTCCCTATGCATCCTGCAGTTTCATGCATAAGAGTTATGGAGAAGTGAGCATCTCTGTTACTCCCCATCTTCATTTACCTACACACCATCCAGTTCATTAGCTCCAGTGATATTTGGTTTGAATGCCTTTTGGCCAGTTTTATTCTACTAACAAGTTTGAATTGTTTGATTTTATTCTTTAAATAAATATAAGGAAGTATTTGAAGTGCCAGAATACTTAGTTGTTCTTGAGAGAGACCAGCAAAGGTAATGTATGGATGCTGCACACATTCTTCTGCATTCATGCACATGCAGTGTGTGCTCCAGTTAGATTGGAAAGATAATGCATTTCCAGTGCCATGTGTTTCAGCTGGAGTTAGTCCATGTGCATCACAATGCTTATTATAGGGGGATTAGCTGAATTTCTGCCACTGAGTCTCAGTAAATGTTTTGTGCATAATGAATGTTTGCCTTAACTGATGATGTAGATAAGAGTATTTTTACAGAATACATAATTGTTCTGTGCCAAGCTGTTAGAAAATACTGAGGCGAAAAACTATTTGTAAGGTTCAAGGGTGCTTAGACCCTTACTCTGGACAGTAAGAAAGCCAGCTATATTCCGTCTGCTATCCATTTTAGACTGTGTAAGTTCCCCAGGGTCCAAGTCGACCGTTAGCTCCCATTGATGGAACCAGCCCCATGTAGAATTTAGACCTTCAGCCAAAGCTTCTGGTATTGGCCATTGTAGGAGACAAAGCACTGGACTCAAAGACCCTTGATCTGCTTATTTCTAACGGGCATTAATGCTAATATTACCTGTAGCAGGATGGGACCCTAGGGTCGCCGTGCTCTCCCCTTGGGTGCCCTCCATACCGTGCCAAGCGTTCTCTAAGCACTCTCGGAATCTCGCCTGCCGCGTCTTTGATGATAGCTATTTATTGTAGGGAGGCTGCCCTTCGTTCCCTTGGCTACGGTTTCCTGCTATGTGCCAGACCCACCTCGGTCTCCCTGGCACTTGGGCGCTCTACAGCCCTGCCTTGCTGCGCGTCCTGTTGACGCTCTGTCCTTTCACAGTCTCGTCTTGCTTGGGCTCTCTGGAGTCCCACCTCACACTGCACCTCACGGCGCTCAAACAGTTGCTGCCCCTCTCTCTCTCTGGGGCCTCTCGCTGCCCTCTCTCTGGGGCTTCTCGCTCACCCTGAGCCTCACTGGCACTCAGGTTCTCCACAACCTTGTTCTGCCTTCTGGGGTACTCGGGGTCAGCCCTCTCCCAATACTGTGCCTTTGCCTTGGCGCTCGGGGATGACACCTCCCCCTCTGCTGCACCCTTATGGACGCTCTGGGTCAATGCCCTCCCTGCCCTGTCCTTTCTGGCAGTCTGGGAGGCGCACTCCCTCTGCTGCACCCTTTTTGGCTTCACGGGCACTGCCCACTCTCTCTCGGGCCCTCACACTGCACCTCATGGTGCTCAAACGGTCCCTGCCACTCTCTCTCTGGGGCTTCTCGCACTGCCCACTCTCTGGGGCTGGGGCTCCCACATTGTTGTGGTTCCCCTATGAGGCTTCCTCCATCCCCTTATAGCCTCACCCAGTCCTCTGGTGTAACAACAACTAAAACACAAGCCAATCGGTTATAACACAAATCTATGTCTCATGGCTAAAACGTCCTCCAAACCACACTGCAGGTGATCCATCTCTCACCCGTGTCGCTAGCTGCTCGCACATCCAGGCCTTTTCCCTTTCACACATTCAGGGCCGAGCTCCTTCCTCCTTGGCCGCAGGCTGCCCACTCTCTGGGCTTTGGCCTGCGATTTTATGTCTGAGCCAGGCCCTGCCCCTTCCGTTCAGCTGACCAAACAGGTGTGTGTCCACTACTCCGGCTTTCCCAGTAGCAGGCACCTTAGTGCCCTGCTACATTACCCTTACTCTCTGCAAGGGAAATCATGTGGTCCTCCAAGGGAACTACCCAATGGCAGAGCTGTTGTTAAAACAGATTATTTGTTTGGTGCAAAAGTAAACCCCTTCTGCAAGGATGGGTAAGTGTTGGACTTTGGCTTTAAATAGCAGAGTTCTGGTCTACAAACTGCTGGCGGTCTCTGGATAATAAGGCCTGGCCTGACTTCAGAAATATAGCACCCTTGAATCAACAGCGATAGGCTGGGTCCTCACTTGGAAGCAGACCCTTTAAGCCAAGGTTAGCAGAGTGTAATGTATGATTCCACCGTCCCAGCTGAGTGTTAAATTGGGGTGGGAAGGAAGAAGGCCCAGCTGTGGGAGTGGATGGGTAATAAGGATGTAGTGATGTAATAAAGACCTGCCCAAGCCTGAATGTCCCATGAT